GGATTTGTAATTGGTTGACTGGGTGAACCCAAAGGATGCTCAACAATGACTCCTTTTCAACTTGGAAAGAAGTGACCTTGTGGTCTCTTCCAACTCTAGGATTCTATGATGCAGTGAAAATATAGAAAGACGGAACCATCGTATACATTGGAGCAGTAGCATTAAAATGAACCCTTATCATATAATCTAGTTCAAAAAGTAAATTTTCCATACTTCAAAGGGATCTGTTATGCAACAAAATACTGTTCCCATTCCTGACTGCTGACGCTTCGAATACAAAAGATGGTCATCCCTATTCTACAACACAAAACTTGATGTTGACCCTTTTTCTATATTATGGAAATCTTGATGTGAGTTAACAAGGGAAAACCAGCAATATTTCAGAAAGAATATGAATCTCAGAGGTGTTCCTTTATTATCCATTGATCCTCTAGGAGTGACATACACATTCAAATCCATAAACAGTTATATGGGTGGATTATCTGGTTTTATTAGGGCTTCAGTGCTTTAGAGCAATAGTTATCAGCCTTCACCATCAAGATGTTCTGGACTTCAACTGCCAGAATTCCCAGCCACTGTTTCCAATTGTCAGGGAGTCTGGAGGCTGAAATTCAAAGGCTGAAAACCATTGTTTTAGATCACGTAATCTTCCAAGTAAACGCAAGGGTTTGTTTTTTCTTTACATAGAACCAATACAAAGAAGTGATGGATTGTTAACAAAGTTCAGCCTACATTGTCTTATACTCACTGTACTCTGCTTAGGTCATATACTATCTAGAAATGGATCATCATGGCTGTGTAAGCTTTGAATAAATGTACATCCTCTTTAGGCAAGATAAATGAAGACTGCAGTCCTATACACTCATTTATGGAAGTAAGCTCTTCAGATATATTGGGCTTAATCCAGTGTTAGTACTACCTAGAGAAGATTCACAGAAATGAATGGGACTTGTTAGTCAATGGTATATTAAATCCATTTATTTTATTTGGTCTACCCTAGGCAGAAGTGATTGGATTTAATCTATGGGTCTTTTGAGTAGAAATACATACTGCATGACTGCAACCCAAAATACATTTTCTAGAGAGAAGGCCCATCAAGACTTTGCATTATTTATGACATCTCTGAGCAATAGTCACCTTATTTATTTTTGATGAAGTTCTACATCATTTGGAGCTAACTTTTCGCTCAGAACCTCAATTCGACAATGCATATTCTATAATTATTACTGTATGTTGGTTTTTTTAAAATGCATTGTCCTCCTCAGTCTTTAGCTTGAAATGTTTTGTTGTTTGCTAGAAATTATAGCTGTATTTCATTCTTAGTGTAATAATACAAAATACCTAATAAAACTGTCCAGCGTAATCAGCAATAAAACAATGTTATAGATATTTTTCAACCAAAGCTTATAGGTGGGTTATGGGAACTGTAATCAAAAAAGTAACGTTTCCAGCCTCTGCCTTCAACCCACTAATTTCAGTGGGTCTTCATGTATGTTGGACTGTGACTTTTAATGATGCCATTGTCCTTGTATAGGTCATATTTTTTCATTTGATTTGTTAGAATACTCACAAATGATTGCAGGATTTGGTCAGTAGAAACATGTAATTGTTGGTGGCTTAAAACATAAATTATTGGTACCAGCTAACATTCTCTTTGTTCTTGCCACATTGTACTTTCAGTCCTGCTCCAAGGTTGTTTTATATCAAGGCTAACTGCAATTAAATAAAAATACTGTCACAGAGCTCTTAAGAATTTGAATAATTAGTCCATTCCTTCTTTTTAAAAAACAAACAAACAAACAAACAATTACATAAACTCTTCAGATGGAACAAGCAGATAATTGCTCTGAAAGATTTATATCTTCAGCTAAGAGAAGAATGGGATTTTTTCCCTAGGCCTTTCCTGGCATACATTTCCTGATGACAGGTTTTATTACAGTGATCTGGCATTATGTTGTTGATTCAACTGTAATTTGGGCAAGGCACTGGCACATTGCATTCTACCAAGGTTTTTACACCACCAGAAAGACAGTCTTTAGTATCGTTAGCTGCAATGCGGAACAAGTTCTTCGGAAACGTGACAAAAAAGGTGATGTCGTCAAAGTTTTATATTTACTTACATGGCTTTGAAATTGTCACTCTGAGTCACGAACAAGATAACTAGAAACTGCCTCACCCTCAGTGTGGGAGATTAGAGAAAGAAATTGAATTAAATATTACCACAAAAGCTATAAATGTATTCAACAAGTTGACTGGAATTGGGCTCCCAGATGGCCATACTAACAGTTTATATCTTTAACAAAGGAGTTCAGTGCCTGTCTGTACAGAGGTAACACCCACTCAGTTCAGTGGGGCTTACTCCCACATAAATTATATAGGATTACAGTCTGAATTAGTGTCCTTTTAACAAGCTGAAGAGCTTCCCTGCATTAATGGGGAATATTTGCATTACTTCCCTACATCTGTTTTGCCAGTATGTACAAGTTCAGAAGCGGTATGGTGTAGTGGTTTGAGCACAGAACTATAACTCTGGAGATGAGGGTTCGATTCCCTGCTCGGCCATGGGCGACCTTGGGTGAGGACACACACGCAGCCCCAGAAAACCCTGCAATAAATTTGCTTTAGGATTACCATAAGTCAGAAACAACTTGAAGGCATACAACAACAACAACAACAAATTGGTTATAATGTAGATACGACATCAGGGGTCCCTCCAAGCCAAAAAAATAAAAGGGGGGGATTTTGAATTTGTCAATCTTAATATTATATAGGGGTTTCAGAAGAAGAAGAAGAAGGAAAAAATAATCATAATGCTAGCAGCTAAAAGGAAGGAAGAGGTAACATTATTGCATGTAATTCAGCTTAAGGAGGATTCTGTTTGCACCCAAGGAGGGAGGAAATACAAAGGAGCCATGGGAGTTCAGGTTATGGAACAGTAAACTGACTGTAAGAGTTAGGTGTAAATCCTTCTTTAAAAACAAAAGCAAAAAAGCCCAACCTGTGTTTGGTATGTTTGGAATGTTGCTCGGCCTTAAGGAGAGGGTCATGTGGACCCTGCAACAGAACAGCATATGAAGTACTTCTCTCACTCAGGGTTTCAACCAACCAGCTATTCCCTCCTAGAGAGAATTCCCTCCATTCCTTCCTCCATCTTTTCCTCCCACTCAACCCGCAACACTCTTAGCTTTCTATGCCTACTGAGCATTTAGTGTGTGTGTGTGTTACTTGGAATTTCTCCAAATATGCTGAAACCTTCTGAGTGGTACCTTTTTGGCTACTTGAGCAAAACTGAAAGAACAGTGGTTGCTGTTACCATGCATTTTCTGCCAAAGGAAGATCTAAAATGCTACCTGTTAAATACAATAACATCCAAAATCCACAAAACAGTGTTACTTTTATTGGGCAAACCAAAATGGATAAAATATATGTTGCAAGCTTTTGAAGTGGAGCTTTGAAAGCTTGCAACGTGTATGTTAGGCATCTCCGTTGCCCCAATAAAGGTATCACTGTTTTGTGGATTTTGGATGTTATTGTACTTTGCTATATGGCCAACACAGCTACCTCTGGATAAATGCTGCTGTTCTCTTTGTGTGCCTTAATGGACCTTATCACACGGGGTCTAAAGCAGTGCCATCCCCGTCCCAT